ACTGCTTTGATTCTGAATCTATTCACCTGGGTGGATTTGGGGCTGTTGTGGGGAAAATCTAAAACACACACACACACACACACACACACACACACACACACACACACAGCGTCGACCAGTTGTCTTAGGGGTATCGCTAACTCTTGGAGGCTTGGTAAGTCGTTATCCATCAGTCAAATACATCCTGGGGAGACTGTCGGGGTTCAACCTCCGAAGGAGTCGGTGCAAGTCCGGCAGCACAGTTTGGCACAGTCAGGCTTTTTCTGTGGAGTTGACTATAGAAAACATGACGACACACATGGTGAGAACCTGCAATTATGCTGGAGCTTTTCAGCAAGGAGAATGCATTTTGTGGATGTGTCTCTTGGCACTTCATGCGCAACCACGCGTGCATGGTGACAATCTTGCTCTTCACAAAAGCGTACTATGTGGCCCTTGCTTTCCCAAACAGGTACCATCAGTGAGACAGAGAGGGCCTCGCCAAGAAACGAATCGAGTGCATCTTCCCACAGAAAATGGAGTAATTCATCCCATTATCATGAATAGTAACGAGAAACGGATCGAGTGCATCTTCCCACAGAAATGGAGTAATTCATCCCATTATCATGAATAGTAACGAATGTGTTTTGCCACCTTCTGTGGTCATATGCACTCCTTCTCCACCCCCCCCCCCCCCCCCCCCCCCCCCCCCCCCCCCCCGGTTTTGTGTGCCGTGCAGTGAGGCCCAGAGGGTGGCATGCTCAGACCCACCACACGGTCCCTAGAAGCCCAACATTGGACCTATGGGACTCATTGGACCTATGGGACTTGGGTCCTAGAGGCCCGACATTGGACCTAAGGGACTTCAGGCCACACACCGACAGTTTGGGCGGCCTTGAGGACCAATGGACAGGAGTTTGGAACTTGGGATGTTTTGTCTGTTTGTGGTTTTCTTGAGTAACTCTATGTTCTGATAATTTTTTCAGAGTATTTTTCTGTTCTCAGTTTTAGGGGGCTCCGTTGTTTGTAATGCATACGATGATGTTGGTGTGGGTGCGGTTCGTTTTGTTTCACGTTTTGGCGCAGCATTTCTATTTCATACTGGGCCTGTGGGCCTCGCCACACAGCACACAGGAAACAAAAAACGAAACGAGTGCATCTTCCCAGAGGAAATAGAAGGATTCACCCGTTTACTAGAAAATAGTAAACCAATGTATTTTGCCACTTTCTGTGGGCAGAGGCAACAGTTTTGTTTTTGGTTTCGGTTTCATGTGCCATGTGTATCTGTGCTGCATATGATGTTGATGCGACCATAGCTTCATTTGTTTTACAAGGGGGGTGGGGGTTATAGTGTTAGGGGGTGCTTGTCACTGCTGTCTGGTCCAAGTTGCCCTCGATGCTGGTAGGGTGATGGTCCTGAGTGATGGTGTGGCATACTGCGTAGCCACACGGGCCTACAGGGCCCGTCCCGGACATTCAGCCTAAAAGCCTAAAACTTAGGGCTTACAGGCCCCGTTCATTTCAGCCTGGATGCTGAAAAACTAGGGCCTGCAGGCCCTACCTCGTTTCAGCCTATTTCTGGGTCTTTTCAGACCCAGAGTTTTCAGCCTGAAACGGAGGGCCATTTTCAGGCCCTCA